AGTGCACTTATGTGCGAGGTTCTACATTGGTTTTCCTCTGTCCATCATTTCAAACATCTGAGTCTACTACCGTTTTAAACTGTTCATCTGCCTTAGGTGGAACAGTCTGTGTAAAAGAAAACTGCCAATTTCAATCCCAAACAGTAAAAACGTCATTCCAAGTTAGATCATTTTAATCTCAGTAATTCAATTGTATGATGTATATATTGTGTTACCTGAATTATCTCTCTATAGGTATTAAGTATTTCATGAATAAGGCCTGCAATGCTTATTAGTTGGTTGTATACATAGTGTGTGGTGGATATTTAATCTGAATGCAAATGTCTTCATGAAATAAATATGGGGAGATCTTACACTTTTGCATCATCCAGATAACGCAATAATAGCATACTTTTAGAGATAGCTTCACTCCTGATGAGTTTACAGTAGTAATGATAATATCCATTAAAAAAAGTACTAGCTTATGAAGTAATATTTGAATTGGTTCTTCACTGGGAAATCTAGGTATCAGTTACCTAACAGCATTTCTATCACATTCGTAATATTCAGTGCGAAGGTTTTGTGGGGATTTATTTATTGATTTCAAGTTGATATTCATCAAGGACTAACTGATAAAATCAATGTAGAAACAGTGATTTAGCCAAACGTGATCAATGCTACGAAGACATCTGATATCAAAACCCAGTAATCGCTTCATGTCATCCTCTTTTAACGACCATATCTCATAGCCGTACAACAAGGCTGACATCATTTAGGGAAATATTCGAAACGCGGTAGCACTGGGCAGTCATTTTGTCCTAGTATAGAACCCCTCAGCACTAGTGAGTCCATAACCCGCCGGTGGTCAAAACCAGGACACTCAGGTTCTTTGATCAGCCACTGAGTAATTTTTGTGTGCATATACGTGTGATAAAGAGAATTTACTATGCAGGGAAAGAAAACAATGGAGAGAAATTTCATTTGTCTATTTGTTAACCTGTCACAAGATTCAGTCATATATTAGTCTTTGTTATTTACTAATCCACTCACTCTATAGTCAATTTAGTAGTAGTATATTGCTTATTACTATTTATTGACATATTTGTTATTCTCCGTTGTTTTGTTGGATCGAATTGTTCGACCTCTATTGGTATATGGGCTCCTATGCGGATACCTCGATATTGTCTGAATGTTAATTATGATAAATTGGTTGGTTGTGATTAGCAGAAGAATCCAGGATGCGCGTTTCATCCTATTTGGGTCTCGTCAGCTGGATGTACCTGCACCGCAGTGATGTCGTTCCCACTGGGACTGGAACCTCGTACCCATCGCTCCAAACACCAAGGCGTTATCCACTATGCCACGGAGGAACGATAATCACTTTTTGTATGCCTTGGCGTTTGAAGCGTTGGGTACGAGGTTCGAGTTCCAGTGGGAACAACATCACTGGGTTGCAGGTACATCCAGCTGACGAGTCCCAAATAGGACGAAACGCGCGTACTAGATTCTTCTGCTAACCACAACCAACCAATTTATCATAGTATATTGCCTGTTTTCAAAATAGTTTTCATCATGAATTTCGATCAGTTAGAGATAATCATTCAGCTTGAAACTTTTCATCATCATGAATATCAATGTAGGACTAGGCATTACTGCATAACAGTCAAATTTGCCACATCTCATATCAGCATATCAAGTAATAAAGTAATAAGATGAAAGAAAAACCGGCTAGAAGCAGTTGAACATAGTAAAATAGAGGAAGTTGGAAGGAAAAAAAGGAATACTAAATTCAGTATAATTGTTAAGTTGAAGATAAAATAGAAACTATTAAGTGATGGATGATTTATCCCAAGTTGGCCTTAATAGTTTTTACCATTATGTAGAAAGATATTTAACCAATGTGAAACTCACACGAATGTTTAGCATGCTATGATTAGTTGTGAAGGGCTTTCATAGAATTCTGGGCTTCTTTGAGGAATCTATGAGGTATTCAGTGACTCTATAACAATAGTGGCTATTGACGGTGTTGTAATAACTCGATTCGATGACTGTTATTTGCAGTCGTGAGACTATCACCATTTATCCAAAACAGAAGAAGCACCGAACTGATAGGATTATTCTTGACGCTTTAGTTTACATATCTCTATCGTTGGTTGGACCAAAATGACCGACCACTAATGGCATATGGACTTCTACGTGGATGCCTCAATATTGCCGGTATTTTCGAATTTGATGTTGATAGTGGGTAGTGGTTAACAGTGGAATCTAGGACGCCTGTTAGTAGGAAGAATATCTCTCACTAGATGGCAGGTACATCCAGCTGATGTGGCTCAAGTAGGATGAAACTCAAAGTTTCTGACTGTGGTTGAATTTAGGCTATAGAATAATCATTCACATCTCTAATCGATTAGTCTTCTCATAAACAGGTTAACAATTGTCGTTTCGTGTATCTCTTGAAAAGTTCTTCTTTTACCTTCGGAAATCGGTACCACTCCACACTCAACTTATTTATTTCTTTCATATTGCGTGTATTATACAATGTCAACAAATGTTTAGAGAAATTCATTCATATCAGATTGTTTATTCAAAATACCACATAGTAAGGTAGTGTTATTTACTGGATGACGTTTCAAGTACAGTTTATTGTTCATATTCATACCAAAGTAATCTTACAACTTTCAAACTTCCCTTATATGGTAGAGTAGTCTAACAGTTCCCCTCATTCCTTCCTTTTAATGGCAGTAAAATTTTCTAGATATCTGTGAAATATGATGCATGATTCCTGTCACATGTGTCTTACGTATTGATTGAATGAAGAAAGATTCTGTGATTAATCTAACCCTCCGTCCATCAAGCTATCTCTATTGGATTTGAGAATTGTCTCCCTATCCCACCTGCCATATTGTGTGTTAGTGTGGATCAGTACATGTAGATCGATAGACGAGTTTTTCTGTGAATTACTTATCGTATAGTAGGCTCCATCATTGTATGTTTCGTTAAAGTATTGTGCTTTGCTATTCTAAGTGAGCCAGATCGGCTGCTTTCACTTACTTACTTGAGTTCACAATCATTACATGGTATTTGATAGATTAGGTTGTTTTTTCTATTTGGCTGTACTGAATCCTTTAGCTTACAAAGTTTCTGTTGGAGTGAGTTTTTAGGATTTGTCCTGGTGCGAACTTGACAGACGCACAGACCAATCACTGATTATTCGAACTTGTTATATACCCAGGACTATGAGACGAAGGAAGAACACGATAGCGTAGTCGGATGGAATAGTATATTTGAGTGGTTGTGCCAAGATACCGATGCCTTCCAGCTATGTGGCTAGAGAGTCGAACACGAGCAGTGCAAGGTAACACGATAGCGTGCCAAATGGCGATGATGCTTGACCGGGTGCCTTCAGCTTAGTGAGTCCAGTTAAACTATCAAGGTCAGCATCAATGTTGAATGTCGTGGAACCCTAGGCTATTGATTTTGGGGAAGCATGTGACGCTACGAGTTTGTGAGTGAGGCTAAATGCCAGGATTGTTAAGAATTCTAGGTGAAATTCTTGATATGCCTTTGTTATACAGCATGTTGTAGTCAGTAGTAAGGTTATCACTCCTTCAGTTATTATCAGTTCTTATAAACATTTTATCAATGAATTCCGGAGGGTAGTTGTTAAGAAGTAGTGTCTCTTCAATGTGTTTCAGTTTGTTGTTTAGATTGTGTGAATTACCAGTTAAACTTGTAACCCGATTACTTGTCCATTTTATCTTTGTTCATTGAATCAGCATGTAGCAGGAATGATTCATCAGATATTGTGGAATGAAGGACTGTTAGACTATATATGTATATATAAGGGAAGTTTGAAAGTTGTATGTGATTACTTTGATATGAATATGAGTGGTAAACTGTTCTAGAAACGTCATCCACCAAGTGATACTGTATACATGTTAAATAAGCAACCTACTACGGAGTAATACTCTACCACCGTACATTGGAAAAATTGATTGATTTTATCAGTCAATGTAAGTGTGATGAATCATTTCTGTCACAAGGTAATAAATGTTTTCAATGTATGTAAATTATTTCATATGTTTGTCATCAAAACAACATTATATCATAAGTGTAGAACCGATCAAATATTGTGTTAATTTTCCAAAAAAATTATAACACGTTTTAAAATATATTTATAAACACTAGGCATTTCGTAACAGGTGACTTTTTTTTTAATTATATGACTGTAACCGTTTTTATGCATTGGTTTGCGGTTAGTATTCTTTTGATCATCTGGTTTGGACATGTACTGCGTTTCCTGAACCACAACCTACATCTATGTACCATGCTACGGAAAGTTGGATTAGGGAGGTCAGACCAAGACGTGGTTATAGTCTATGAAGTCTTTGGCTGTTGGTTTGAGTCGTTGCGAGGGGGGGGGGGTATGTAGACTACCTCAATGAGGTCGTTGAAACGATAGAAATCAGCAGTTGAGGACTCTTGGTGATATGGCTAAAAATTAGTCACAATGGCGTAGATGTATTCACTCTTTGACACTGTGTTTCATTTTCGGATTCTTTCTCGTTCCATACATCTCTGTCTACTTTTTTATTAGTCTATTTCTGTTCACTTGTTCTTTACATACTACTTTATGCTATGACAATTTCATTTATCGCCTAGGACTGATCCACACTAAGGACTATCGATTGAATTCTCCTAAACGGTGATGTTCTGAACAGTGACTCACTTCCTCTTTGAAGAACATAATCCTTACCTCAATTTGAATATCATTTGTTATATAAATGACTGCATAGATGTTCCTCGTGGTCGTTACTTTGTAACTTTGCTCTCTCTCTCTCTCTCTCTGTATTTTTATTCCCATTGAATGACGACTATGACTTCTCTGATACTTTTTCAACAGCCTGTATCTCCTATAAAAGCAAACTATTCATCGTTTGGTGAGTGTATTTTTTCTTCATATTATCACTGTTTTCTATCTCATTCTTATGTTATTATTATTGTCTTTTTTTTTTCTACAGTTCTATCAGATGATAAAGATATGAAATGTAATGAAAACAGTGTTGTTATCGTCGATGATACTTGTATGATTTCACAGGCAGATTTATTTAATTCTCAACAGCCTAGAATACTGAATCCCTGGATAAGGAATACAACTGATATAACTACTTTGCCTAATTCTGGGATTTGTATTACTACTATTGGTGTTGATGTTAGTCATGCTAGTCATAATAGTGTTAGTAATGTATTGGCTACTAATGCTATCACTGTATGGGATAGTTATAACTGTATCAATAATTCATTACAAATTGTTGATTCTGGTATAAATAAAACACCAATGATGATGACAACAGCTATATCAACATCCGGTAAAACATATTCTTCAACAAATCGAATAAATAATCTACCACGTTCTGCTTCTGGTGGTTTTATTGGACCTGCTGAAAGTATGGATTCATCATCAATATGGACCTATGGCTCATATAATAATACACAATATAAACGTGAACATGTTTTATCATTACGTAGATTTATGCAACCGATTTATGTTCATCCAGGTCATCCAGCATTTTCTTCATTCATAGAACCATTCAATTGGCCTTCATATTTATTTAAACCAGATGCAGATATACGTACATTGATGAGTTGGACAAAGGTAATTTTATTCATTTGATTATAGTATAAATTTTATGTATTGCTTTAAATACATTTTAGTATACTACTGTATAAGGAAGTATTTCTTCACTTAGGAGGAGATTTACGGGGAATTGATTCATTTCAAAGTAGTTTTCATGATATATCTTTGATATGTTTTTAATTAAATTAAGGGGGGGATTGAACTTTTGTATATGGTAAGGCTTCAAGGGACGTACGTATCTACTCCTGACAGCTTCTGTTTCGGGGTCAATTCTATAGTGTGCTTGTCTGTAAACGATGACATCTGTCGAATTTTAGCCATCTAGGGATATAGTCTACCACCTTCGACTTTATAGTTCGATTACTCTTTCGAATGTATAGTTCACCACACACATATTTAAATTGATAAAGATTCCATATGTACCAGTTTTCTTTATTGTTGGTGCCCATGGAAGATTAACCAACTTATGAAAACTCACGCATACTGCACAGCGGTTTGTTGTGTCACACTACTGGATTCAGAATTGGTTTTTCATAATATACAAATAGAAAAGGTTAGAAGTTGGTATTCATAATATCCTCATACCATCACTCATTCACACGTTGTTACTGTACAAAGTTAGCGATGATACAGTTAAGTGTATGGATCTCTTCAACAAATGTAAGTCAGTGGATATGATAATCCATGTGTATTGACTAAATGTGACTGAAACAAAACGCTGTTTCTCATTTTTATCCAACTAAAGTCACTCCAAGATGAATACTAACCTAGAATCAATGAATAAATCCACACAAAACTTCAATTAGAATAACTTTCTAATGGTCATTATTGATTTACTTCAAGATGAGATTCTCGAAGTTCTAATGAGAAGTGATGACTGGTGGGGCCAGCCAAGTTGAATGTGAAGACAGTTATTCAACGATGGTATTGAGTGGAGGTTGCAGCACATCATAAACTAGCAGGAGTAGGAGACGTTTGACTACTGAACGCCGGTTGAGAGGCTCAATAACAACTTGTTGGCCACAGGACTTGCGCAAATACATCATATTTCTCGGATAAAGTTCATCTTTTTTATTACATTACACAAAAATGCTATTTGATAAGAAATAAAATGTTAGCTATAGTAGGCTAATGTTGGGATAAAAACATGGTGTCTCCCAGTCTAATGAAACGATTGATGTTCTAGGGATAGAAAGAGTTAAACCATCGATTCTATGATTATAATTGTGTGCAAGTGTATTTACCAGTAATTTTCATCTGAAGCCTGGATATTTCATTGCTGTCTGATTATTCGGTCTTTTGAATCGTTCTCTCTCTCTCTCTCTCTCTCTCTCTCTCAGTGCCAAATGCATTAACCTGTACATGGTTTCCGAGCTAAATTTCTTCTTTCACTAGTTCACTTTATTTTACTCTATAACGGCCCTGTAAATATAGAGAACTTGAGAATGCTTTGGATGTTTGATCACCGTTGCCTTTGTAACATACTTCATGTTTTGTGGAACCAACTCAACAGTAACGCAGAAGTCAGGTGTAAAGTTTCTGGTAAAAGAGGTAACAAGTCAGTTGATGAGGTTATAAATCTTCATGAAACCAGATGCCTGAAATGTGTAACGCATCTCTAGTCATCGTCTGTTCAATGTGATCTGAAATAGATTCGGGCTGTAAAAAAGGGTTAGAGAAGGCCACAATAAATCATGATATTAATCCATACAGTCTTTGACTGTTGATCTTAATTGTGTAGGACTTCGTGGTTAAGGTTTGTGTGACAACGAAAATTGGCGATATGTTTGGGATTCGATCTCAGTGATGCAGCCGTTTCTACACATTAAATTCATCTTAATTTTTATGCCGAACTCCACTGTTGCTACATCAGTTCTCCCTCTCTCTGATTAACTTTCTACTCCTTTTTTATCGCTTTCTTACTTTTATCTCTATCTTTCAACTTGGTATCTTTTACCTTGATGTACTGATGTAAAGTGTGACGAGTTAACTGTTTACGCAGTAATACCAGGTCCTTTGTTGATATTGACTGACTGACTGATCTCTAATAGATAATATGCCCAGTGTTAACCATTGTTTTCTTGAAATTTTCTAACCTTAATTCATTGTTTATTTCCCTAACTGTTTTTTCTTTCGTTTATATTTCATAATTTTGTAATTTTTTTTCTGTTCAGTATATTTCTGTTAATGTCCTGTATATAATACCGGTAATCATAGTCAAGTGAATATTACAAAGTAAAGTTCTTTCCATTCTCTGCCCATGTCTCCATCTGCTACGGGGTTGGTTGCATTATTGCCTAAACTAAGCAATGAACCATGCCTGTTGTGTGAAAGCTAGTGATAGTAGTCGGCTATCTAACTTAACTTCGATAGGCAAAGTGGGGTTCGAACCGGTGAAGTTCGATTACTAAAACCCATAAGTCACAACTTCACTTTACTGGATTGATTGAGTTGCACTTCTTTTAGATGTCCAGGTAGCTATGCTCATCGAGTGGTGTCCGTCGAGGGTGCCCACTGCCTCCATTCTTATTCAATTTTACCATCGATATTCTCATGGAGGTCTCCCTCTCGTCACCAGGTTGACCTAATCGCAGGAGAATTTTCATTAGACCTGGAATATGCAGATGACATGGTCCTCTTGGGTGAGGACGCTGACAAGATGCAGAGTCTTCTGAACACACAGTGGCAGTTTGAGAATGTTTGGGATGCGTTTCTCACCACCGAAATGCAAATTGTTACCCCACGATTGATCTTCAACGGTTCCATGACTAACAGTAGAGAGTGAAGTGATTGAGTGTGTTGACCACTTCACTTACCTGGGAAGTGGGATCCAGCCCTGGTAGCCCAGTGACCGATGAAATCTGTGCACAAATACAAGAAGGTCGGTTGGCTTTCACCAACTTATGTTGCGTATGGCGCCGCCGTGATATCCGATTGTCTATTACTGTGGCGTGTGCTACACAGCAGTCCTCTGTGTTCTATTGTATGGCTGTGAAACATGGCCATTGAAGGTGGAGGACATGAGAAAGCTTGCTTCAGATGTTTAACCACCTTTGTCTTCATAGTGTAGGTCGTATTCCGTGGTGTCACCACGTGAGTAACGCGTAAGTCAGGTGTGTGTAGAATTTTGGTGAGGGAGAAGAGGTAAGTTATTTAGTGAGTTTGTGAAGCTTCATGGAGTGAGATGGCTGGTTTGGACATGTGTTGTGTATGCCTCGTCGCTGATAACCTCACCACACAATGTTGGCGGATGTAGTTGCAGGCTGGCAAAAGGTCCGAGTCAGCCAGTCCAAAACCTGGCGCGAATGTATGAAGTGTTTGACTGTTGGTTTGAGCCATGTGGGGTGATGTAGACTGGGTGTTTGGGGTCCGTGGGCAAGAGGAACTAATGATTGGAGACTCTAGATGATGTGGCTTAGAATCGAAGTGAGTGACGCAGATGTATACATACATTATCCTCATCTTAAGGATGCTATACCGAATCTCACCATTTTCTCATTCTTCCTTTCTCTCTCTTCTTATACTTAATATTTGTTTTGAGTGAATTTTTTTATCTTCATGTTGCACTTCACTGCCTTTTTACTTGATGTAGTGATGAGAGGTATGGTAAGTTGGACCGTTACACAGTAATGTCTAGTCCTATGTTGATATCGATGATGATGATGATGAGATGTCTACTTGTTGTTGACAGAACCACTTCATCTAGCATCGAAGGATTCAACTTATTTATTTTTATTTTATTACGGTTGTTTCATTTCGAATAGACTGACAAGAATAACCTTTGTAACCTTATTTAATAAGCATAAAAATCTTCTTCACCCTAACCACTAGAAGCTTGACAATGCCGAAAAAGTATAAGTTCTCTCGAAGTATCTAGGCATAATAAAACATGAGTTAGAACCCAGAAACTTCATTTTCGATGAATTAATTAAAACACTGATATTTCACTTTAAGCAACCATCATTATTGTCTAACATAAGATAACAGGACTTGAGGCTTCTGTGTAGAGTAATACTATGTAACTGATTCGTATTCGTGACTATGACAGGTGTTTTGCATAGTTAATTAGTCATCGTCTTATTTATCGAAGTGTTGCCTGAAGTAAGTTTAGGCTAGAAAAAGGCTTAGGGCGACCACACTAATACATGAAATCACTGCATTAAGTCTTTGACTATTGATTTAAGGCATATATACAAGTACAAGCTAGCTGTTTTGGGGTCCACCTGACAAAATAAACCAGTAATTGAAGACTCTTGATGATGAAATGGTTTAGATTTGATGTCAGCGACTCAGATGTATCTACACTTTATCTTTGTCTTAACCGGTATACTGAATTCAGCACTTTCTCGTTCAACCTTCCTCTTTTTTTCTTTACTGCTATTTACTGCTTTGACTTATATATCTTTCCTTCCTTCTTCATCTTCTATCTTCTTGTTTTGTTACTTGTTGTTGTGATATAATGTGTTGGAAATTAGACCATTGTTTAGTAATGCCTCATCCTATGTTGATATCGACTGACTGACTGTGAACAGTTGACATAAGGTTAGTTTGAAGGGAATATACACCTCTGTAGAGAATTCCGTGATGCAAACTTTTGAGAACCGGATGTAATCAAATGAGAAATTGAGCCACTTCTTTGTGAAGTAAAAATTTATTCCGGAATGAAACCGAATGTGCTATAACTTTAGTATACACAAAAAGCGCTGACATTATATGTAATGTGTTATTGGATCGAATGAGAATAAATTATACTTGTAATAAACCGAACCAAATACTCAACTCGAAAGAGTATAAATAGAGAGTTAGCGAGTCGGTCACCGATTTAGCTGACTAGTCAGTCCTTAGTTGGCTAACACTGGTCGAAGTTTGTCAATCAGATTTTGTAATGTGGCCACTGAGCGAAGTGATGCGACACTATGGTGCAATGTCAGAAGCTGTACAACTAATCTATTCAGACCACGAATAATCCTTCTTACGACTGGACACTAGTGTACAACTAATGTATGTGTCTGACTAAT